ATTTAAAAAAAAAATTCGTACCTGACAATTTATGTTACTGCTTGGGTCCACGATCCCAGAATGCATGACCCCTTTCTCAAAAAGCCCCAAATTTCCCTTTTTCTATGACAAACAAATGAGGAAGCTCAGAGCCATCTAGCAGTGATCCGTTGGGACAGCCTTGCTACACAGCAGTAGAGCTAGTCATCATGCCAGAAAGCACATATAAGCACTGTGTTGATCCACAGAACCTTAATATTTTCGACAACTGTGCAGTTACAACCAACCAATCCCATGTGAGATTAAAAGAGTGACATCACTGATGCTTTCCCTGCTTATCTCAGAAGAGCCAGAGCTAAGCTTGAGTGTCCCCCTTTCATGTTGTTTTAAGGCTAAAGCCCTAGAGCATCTCTCCAGCTCCTGTCCTGCACTACAGTGTCCTGAGCAATACTGGTAGTATTCTAATATCAGCAGCTGAGCAGTCAGGACATTGGATACAGCTGACCTTGTCTTCTGCATAGTAAAGGACAAGTGAAATGCAAGAAATGTAATAAAAGGCTAAATACATGAAGTCGTTAGATTTCAGACACTATAAAAACTCTCACTGAGGAAAAAAACAGGTAAAGGATGATTACTATTACATTGATATTCACTATAAATACATATTTCAGATGGAATTGTTATCCATTCTAATACTGTGAATTATTACTGTTCAGGACATCACAATTAATATAAACATGAATTTGATCTGTTGGAAATCAGGTTCACACAGCTTTACCCACAGTCACGGCAAGCTCCCCAGCTGGTTAAAGACATTTTCTAGCACAATGCTAAAAGATTTCATGGGACATAACTACTGGGTCTTAAAAGGCAGCACTGGGTGTGAAATTTCCTTCCCAGAGTGAAAACAGAGAACAGTGTGTGTCAGATGATACTGGAATAGAACCTCAAAGATATTTCAACCTCCCCTGACAATGTGTTCAAAAATAGAGATGTGTTTCTCGTTTAAAATAGAGCACCTACACTGAGAAATATGCAGCAATACAAATACTGTACAATGCCACTCAGAAACCAATACTAGGCTCCCACAAGACACTACTTGTTATTTGAAACAGGCAAACCAATAGTTGTGTACTGTTCCATAATATATTATTTTTGATCCGTATTTGCTATTTCATAAACGAACAGGCATCATCCCTCACAATGTGTGAATATATCCTGTATATATGCAAACACAGACACTATATGCATGTATGTCTGTTTAAATATACACTCTAAACTATTTATTAAATTGGAAGCAGACAACACAATTGTGTTCTTCCCTAGAGAATGCACACACTCTCAAATGCCCTTCTCCTGACTACTAATCTCTACCTGAAACCATCCATCCATTTCCTAACGACGAATGCCATGGAGGAGGCAGACCCAATCCCAGCAATCAATGGGCTCAAGGCAGGATAAACCTCGGGCAGTATGCCAGTCCATCACAGGTCACACCCTGACACCAGGGCCAGTTTTCCTAGAAGCCAAATAACCTACCAGTATGTCCTTAGACTGTGGGAGGAAACCGAAGCAGCCAGAGGAAACCCATACCAACGCAGGCAGAACTAAGAAACTAACAACTAAGAAGACAGTACCCCATGTCCAGAATTGAACCCAGGCCCCAGTGGTGCAAGGCAGCAATGTTAACCACTGTTCCTCTCCATCTGAAACCTGAATGGGCCCCGAGTGGGTAATACATCCTACAACCATAATGCTATTAATAATGACAAAAAGAACAAATGATAGCAATCAACACCTTCAACAAAACCATGTTTATTTCTTCACATTAATCATAATTAAACCTTTATTTCTTTAAATAATGAGCATTCTGTATCATATTGCAAGGATGGTTCTTTCTTTATCAGAGCACAATTACATATAATTGTGACTGCAAGTTTTAAAGGTAAACAGACTAAGGGAGAAAGGAAGCTTTGGTTTTAAAACATGTCTAAATAAGAAGTTGAATGTAGAATGAGCATTTGTGAATGTCTGTATTAATTTTACCAAAATAGAGCACTTTGGTCCAATGTGAATACACGCACAAGGAAGACTCCTCAGAACACATATCTTATATTGGGTAATGAACATATTTAGTCAGAAAACTTTCTAATAATCTACGTTATCATCTAATCTAATAACAGCATTTCCCTGTTTGTGTATGATTATATCAAATCTTCATGATTTAATTAATTGTCTTACAGAAGAAGAACCATATCGTCACTGTGGAACAAGAGCAAGTAGTAGGCATAGTTTTATCATCATGTATATGCATACATGACTTGCATTCTAAAATGCTACTTAATTTAGATTTTGTTTCCAGAACTGTTTACGAAGGTGTGTAATGACCCACAGTACCATAGAACACAGAAAGATTAAACTCTGTACATCACAGCGCACCAAAAGTTACTTTAGAGCATGTCCTGGTCCAGTCAGTCTATACCAGAGAAAGCTGGTTAAACTGGAGGTCTACCCTCTAGACCAAATTGCAAATTATTTGAAGAAAATAAATCAGCAAGTCAATATACAGCAATCTACAGCAGGGTAGGATGGAGTTAGAGTTTCTTGAAAAGGTTTTTGAAATAACAGCCAGAGGAATTCAGACAGAGAAAGTGTATTGCCTTTGTGAAGCATTCTTTTAAGTTTCTTATTCCATTTAGGTTTGTTATTTATATAGGTTAGGTTATGTAGGTTATTTCTAACGTTCTGTGTGCCCTTTCATATAACTTTCTATCTATAATAACTGCCCCCCCCCCCCCCATTTCCTGCCTCCTCTAACTCAACCAACTACAGTACTTGAAAGATACACAAAAGCAAGATTTTTCCAGATTTTAAAGGGGCAACCCTTTGCTTTTCTAGGATACACCGTTTACACGTCTTTCCCAGTGAACGTTGATTTTCTGTGCTGTTTGTGTGTCTGTGTTGTCTATGGATTTGATGTATTCAGTGTCAAGTTGCAAACTGACAATTAAAAATTAATGGCCTCTGGGTTTTACATTTGAAAAGATGCCAGGAAACAACGAGAGAATATCGAAAGAAAAAGCAAAGCCCCTGAGAGTGTTCAGAAAAAAAAGTTTTAAAAAGCATAACATATTATTATAATGATGACGATGATTTAATAACTGGCACCTGTTACTATGTTCCAGTTAGCTCTCAAGATAAGGTGTTGTAGCTTTACTTGTGATGTGTCTTTAAACAAACATGCATGATACTGACACAGTCATAGGATATGTTAGACCTGACCCAAATTAATTTCCCCTGACACTGAATCACAACTCAAATGTTTACTTTTTCCATAGAAAGTTTTAAGAGCTTTAAACTATGTAGAGAACAGATGGACAATCAGAAACACATCTCATAGAAAAGGACACCTGTGCGTACAGGGATGTCTACCTTAGTGGTAACAAACTGTAGAAACATTCATGATACATTTCAGTTCCAAGCAAAAAATTGTGTTTTTTAACAGAAGTTTGGGAGGTGGTCCAACACATTCTATAGCTCTCCAGCAAATACGAACTTGTTGGCTACTTTCAACTCTGCACATATTGTTTTTAGTCCCCCTCCCTCTACCCCGGCTGCACCCATGGAACAGCCCCCTGGGTCAATCCTTGTAAGTAAGGGGGGCTGTGACAGTGCTGTCATTTCTTCAACCAGCCAAGTTAATGCGAAAGCACACTATCCCTGCATAGTCATTGTCTTGTTTCATTGTTATTGGAACTTCAAACCATCAAATAATGGATTATCAAAATACACAGGTTTTCTAGAAGAGTGTCAGTTTTTTGTCCAGGTTTTCATGATGCTACGCCATGGCACGATGAGACTCAAGAGATTCTGTCACGCACACCTTCTAAGCATCAGAAAGAAGAATGTGAAACACCAGCACCCTTTGAAAATTCCACATGAGAACCTGGTGATACATACTTAAGTAAGGCATCAGACTCTACCCCCCAACAGACTATCTTCACTATCTTCGAAACAACTGAATCAACCACCAAATTTAAGAATAAAAGAATGTTAAACTACACATTAATCTACAAAACAAAAAAATACCAAGTGAAGTCCCTTATTTCAATAGGGTTATTTGTGGTATGCAAACTGCACTAGTTCAGTGAAACTTTATACCTTCAAAATGCAACAAACAAAGCTTGCATTGTACCTGAAACACATGAAGTACAAACTAGGTACACTACATTCCAACTGTGACTAAAGGAAATCAGTGAGGGCAATGCTCAGCTTTGTCCTTATCAAGAGCACAGAATGTTCCTGCTAAAATGAGCTGTTTTATTTAAGCAGAAATGCAACACTTGTCAGGGAAAGAGGGAACCAGGAAAAATAGAATGATGAGAGGCTGTCAAGTGGGTGCATTTTCTTACTGCAGGCACTCAGTAAATTACAGGACTGGTTTTGTGGGTAGCAGACCAAAATCATGATTGCGAAAACTCACCCAGTATGTGCTGTAATAAGGCAAGCTTAACCATCTATAGCATATTCTATAAAACCCTTGTGGGCAACTCATTCAATACACAAAGCACATATGAAGCATGCAATTGTAAGAAGATTATTTTGTCACCTAATTTGAAAAGCAGAATAAAAACTGAAAACAGTGGCTAGTGTCAGCTAGCTCCCAAAAACAGTGACTGCTTTCTGCTAACATCTGCCGAATCTGATTTGTGCTAACATTTTTTACTGATGTAAACATACAAATGTTTTTGAAAAGTAATGTTAAGATGCATCACTATTATACAGCAAAAATGGACAAAGCTATGCTCCAAATTGAAAACAAAAGTAAAGTGCAACAACTGAAGTGCCTAAAACTGAACCAATAAAAAATGTTAGCTTAGCAGGCAGGCAGAAAATGTCCTGTTTCAGATAAAATATATTTTTGTAGTTTAGATAAAACCAAGGAACTCAAAGACAGTTACATTTTATTATAATTTGATTTTTTTTGCATGCACAAATAAAAATGTTGATGTTCAACTCACCACACTCTTGTTTCCACTAGTGGTAAGTACCTGCAAAGGGTATAACACTGTCAACCCAAATATACTGAAAATGTGATCATTAAACAATGCAAGAACAATAATTAAAACAAGTGTTTACCTAGTAAAACATGTAATGAGACATAAAATGAAAAGCATTCCAAAAATGAGCATAAATACAAACAGCCTTCATATGCAATTGCCACAAGAGTATCAGGCCCTGAATGTTACACTTAAAATGACTAACTGCAACACTGACTGAGGTGTGAGTCACACTTAGATATCTAACTAGAAAAGTAGGCTGTGCATCTTGGGTATTGGGCAACTTCCCTGAGTAAGATACTTCAGGCAAAAGGCTGCCCAACTTAGTTATTCTGAAGTTGTCCTTCCTTTATATTTTACAATATATTTTACAATATTACAAAAATACAATATGTCCGATTTATATTTGACTATATTTTGAATACTGGCAGTTAGAATGTAGATTTGGATGTCTTCTTTTTTTCTAGACCAAAAATGTGAACAAATATCAAAAATATTTACTCCAAACCTAGCCTATTTAACAAAGATTTGTTAATATCAAGTTGTGTTAGGTTGATTGGAACTGTACAATTCTATTTGCATTTAAGTGCTGACATTTAAGTTCAGAAGAGCTATCTGATGCTTTTCTAGCTATATGTGTAGATTATTACCACAAATATTTTACCTCCACCTGATATTCAAGTATTGCGGAAAGCATGTGTTTTTAGCCTTTAGTTTTAATATCAAATCATTGTTCCACTTAAAACTGTGAAAATATCACTCACCAACAGTAAGTGTATAACTAGTACTAATCCAATCATACAAAGCAAGTACTATACATGATCTGAGCTCATTTAGGACTCATTTTAATGAGATTGTACATCTTAGAATATTCATGTGCCTATAGCAGTTATGCACAATGAGAGACTCCTGATTTACTTCATGAATATGCAGTGCACAAGCCCAATTTATATTCTTGCATTTAGCAGCTATGCTTTCAAGCATATGTACAACTGACAATTTTCTCTTTCTTTAAAAGAATACTTCTTCAAATTCATGGACGAGTATGTTTTACAGGTTAGACAGTATAATTCCATCCATTTTTTAAATATTTTATACAAAACAAGGTCGTGCAGGAGCTGAATCCTATCCCAACAAGCAACGGGTGCAAGGCAGGGTATATCCTGGACAGGACGCCAGTCCATCACAGGGCAGACACAGAAACAAATGCAGGCACACACACTCACACCAGGACCAATTTTCCCAGAAGCCAATTAACCTGGCAGTATGTCTTTGGACTGGGGGAGGAAACCCATGTGAACATGGGAAGAACATACAAACTCCTCACAGACAGCACCCCAGGAATGGAACCCAGGATTCTATAGATGCGAAGTAGCAATGTCAACCGCTGTGACACCCGGCACTACAATTCCTTAAACTGGAAATTAAGTTTTCTTCACTTGTAATCTGCTTGCTAAAAATAATCAGTTCCACTCTTGTTCTGTCTCTCTTGTGCTCTAAGCCTGAAATAAACATAGGTCAAAGATTTACATGCATTACATAAACTAACAGTTAATAACAGGATTAAAAACAGGCTGTGTGTCTGGGACGAGTATGGGATACAGACCACGTCTTTGCCTTTTTTCACAATTTAAAATTCAAAGCGGATTTTTGGAAATGCAATAGGCTTTTAAAGCTACTTAAAGTGAATATGACGACATTTTGTTCAACAGAGTATGAATCACATTCAATTAAGGTCACTAGTTTTCCTGTGTGGGAAGGCTGGGGGTGTTGTACTAAAAATATGAACTAGTGGGGAAAGTGGTGGTCTTGCTAGCTCTGTTTATTACAGTTTAACACATTTCTACATTGCTTCTGATTAAGAAATTTTAAAGCTTTTCTTCGATTCCAAAATACCTATTCTTCTCCAAACTGTACTTAATGCATATTTAATTATTTTATAGACAAAAGTGGAAAAATTATAGGAGATTCAGAACAAATAGTTCAGGTTATACAATTTACAATTTGTTCAAAAGGAGTTTGTAGATGAGTATCTCTGTGAGAGAATGCTGATCTGCAATTCTAAACCTGTCCAAAGGCAAATGAGAGAAAGGGTAATCAAAATGTTGTGTGGAAAATGTCACTCACTTTTAATGCATTTTGTCAAATAGCCTAATACAATTCACCTATGCCATTAATGGATTTTTAATGCAATGGGGAAAAGTCGTTAGTATACTTAGTGGCACCAAAACAAATAATACTTGGAAAGGAATTACAGAATTTTGGATTTAGAAGATAAAACTAAAAATTAATTAAGGATTAAACTAATACTGGATTACATAACATTAAAAGTATCCCAAACAGTGTCTGGCTCTATGGTATGACATTTGGACGACACTCATTTCACACTAACTAAATTATTTCATTTTGTAACTCATATTTCTTCACATACTGTATAAAGCAATCATGTGCAAAAAGAGAGAAATTTAATTTAGTCATCATGTTCTGATTCATTCCAAAACCCTAAGAAGCCACTTTGAATCAGGATGTGTGCTTTTACTAAGAATGCATTTGCTTTTGTATGCATTATAGAAGAAAAGAGAAGAATAAAGTATTGTTTATAATAAATTACAGACATACATTAACAATCTGGTCTTGTGATTAACAATACAATCATAAGTAAGGTCAGTTTGTTCAAGGTTATTAACATGCTATGAATGTTCAGTTAAGATATTACATATTGTATAAGATTTATACATGGAATTTGCAGTGCCTTTTATGTTACAGTATAATCTACAAGTTGTTTCAGTGCTTTTGGTGTCAAAAAGTATAAATCCCCACATTTATCATGTAACAGGAAGAAATATCGACAGAGGAGATGAACTCATAGCAATGCTTTCCAATGCAGTGTAGAAAGTATTATGAGTTTTTGATTATTGCTTTCAAATTCCATCTCTTGGTCTTGCCCTTGCATTCATAATTTTTAAGACAATGAATTAAAATAGCTCCCTGACATGGAATCAGGTGGATCTGAGGGACATCTGGCTAATCTCTGCATCTTTGATGAGGTAACAGATCAGCACAGTTACATGGAAGTGAGCATTCTGTTGAATGTCTCACACTTGGATTAACAGCTCCAGATCATTTGTTTATTCATCTGTACCTACAGAGTTATACTAAAGCCTTCAATACCGTGCTTGAGAAAAGGGTGTTTGTCCATAAAATGAGTGTTATTAGCAGATCATGCCAACACATTAATCCAAAACATGCTTTTCATACATAATAACTACATGTAAGCTTTTCAGCCAAAAAATGAATCTGACTTATCAAAGGTAAATCTGAAAGGTTACTTGGGGAACTGGACAGGTAGAATAATGTTATTCTTTCATATGACTTGAGTAGCTACATGCTCCACTTAATGCTATAAAGGAAGACATCATTTTTTCTATACTACATTAAAATATATGCAAGAGGAGGACATATCACTTAAGATTCCAAATTTCACAGTTAGGGAATTTGTTTTCATATACTTCATGCTCAAACATTCACTATAGTTATTATATTCACCTTAAGATTTCTTCATTAAAATTCAGGTTGCTCAACATTTTTACTTTACAGCATGTATATACTTTGACTTATTAAAGAACTGCAATTTAAGTTTCCAAGGAGTGTATAGATAAAATCTTTGCAGTGCCTCGGTTGGCTTAAAAAAACACCACTCACAAAAAACTTCTACCATCTTTACAACTAGAAACACTGAGACCCATCCAAAAAATGTAAAGGTCACCGAAATTAAAGGCGACATGAAAAGCCTCTGTGTTATATTTTAGTGGGATGTGAAAACTGCTCAACTACGAAAAGCAAAGGATATCGAGTGTCAACAGAAAATGTTGACTTTGAAAGAAACGTGAATCATCGTCTTCACGTTGTGGGTGACGGAACAGCAGCACATTTTATTCAAATCAGGTATCTGAACACATATCAGTGTGTTATTTGATGACTACAATCTGGTCACCTGCCATAATAACACAATAGAATCTTGTGGGACTTCTTTCAATTTTATTCTTATTTCTGTATGTAGCTGCACAATATGAAAGGATGTTTTTTGGGGTGCAACATTGCTTTCACTGGGACAGTTTCAAAAGAAATAGCACAGGGTTCTCTTGTAGGCCATCTGAACTCTTCCTTTATCTCTGAAGAAGTCACATGGTATCATAGTTAACAAAGAGTGAGAATTGTTTTGTCACTCTCAAAAGGTATGATTAACAGCTGCTGAAACCTTAGAAGGTCTGAAATGTTCTGTATCTATACATACATCATGAGCTGCTCTGCAGACTAAATACTGACTCATGAGTGAAAAGAACACATCACCAGCGGTCCAAAGCTCTATCTGTAAAGACACAAATACTAAGTCATCTGCTATCAGGTCCACGTCTGTGCAGTCGATTCTTAATCGACTGTCTGGAAACAGACCTTGCAGTGGCTGCTACAGATTCTAATACATCTCAGTGGAGGTCATCCAGCTGTTCTGTACACAAGAAGGGGACATCAATCTGTTATCTATTGCTCTGGTTGACAGTGAATCACTCAAAATGTGCGTGGATCACATTGTATCCTGGTGTCACATCACATGGACAGAGATGACAGAGAACTATGACAGTGTTCCTCTGTCCTGGTCCTTGAGAGTAAAAGTCCTACAGGATTTACTGGCCTCTTCATAACATTACCTGCTTTGTTCCTGGGGGGGAAGAGTCCAATTCATCCCTTAAGTGAATAATGACTCCAATTACCTTATGAAGAGCTCAAGAAGAATAAAAACTAGGAGATGCCTTGGCCTTCAGGGACTGTTTTTGAGGAACAAGTACCTAAATAATGGCCTGCTTCCATCATACCAACTGTTCTCCACATTACAGAAATGGACAATCTTCTGTCTCTCATACTCAAAACTTTTTATATTCAAAACCTGTTTTGTAAAATTAGACATTCTTTTCTTGAAGAAGTATTCCTTTATACCCAGCACTTCGAACATGTGTACAATAAATATTGACTGTATTGGGCACAGGTACAATTTCTCATGCTGTGCATTCAGTTATTCCTTTCTGTAGTGAATTTAATGCAGATTTGAAGACGTTCTAAACCTTACCAACTCTTCAATCTGTATGAATCTGGGGTTTCATTTGGGATGTACAGGATATGTACTGTAAATACTAACAATCTGAAGTTCACTTACCTCATTAAAAATTTAGATTTTTAAGGGTTGCATGGGTGTTGACTGAGATAAAGCCCAAAACATCATCTTTCACCACTTCCCTCCAAATTATATTCCTTCATACCATTATTTACTCATAAGTTTAAGAGTTACACAGTATTAAGGCAGAAACTCGAAAACTGACTAGATCAGATGATCTTCATAATTGACCAAGCATTTATCCTTAATTTGACGGACAGATTTTATCAATCTTTATCTCAGAGGGCTAAAATAAAGAGAACTGCTTTTATAAAATATACATGCACTGTATATGCACAAAGGTATCTGAATATTTAACCATTCTTTCGTGCCTGCCAGCTTTATGAATGAATGTCGTATTATTATTCAAATCGCTTAATATGCATTTACATAATGCGTTCAGTACTGATTTATTGGTTATATAAATTTGTACATTGAACAATTTGAGATTTTTTTGTCTGACATAAATGAAATGTGCATTGATCTCAACCTGTGTAATTCAAAAATTATATATTTTAATTTAAACGGTCATTTAATAATATTAATAATTATAATAATAATAATAATAGATCAGCATGCCGTGGCTCACTAATGGATGCAATGTGTCAATTGTCACGTCTGTTTCAGTGAAAGATAGAAAATCCCTATCCACCCAGCAACTGAATACTGCGTCTTGTATTTCCTTAAGCACAAAGCCAAAGATATGGACCGCTAACGCAATGCAATAAAATGCAGCGTACTGCTCAAATAGGAGTGCTTACCGTCGGCAGCAAAGGCTCCATTTGGGCTCCTTGGTCTTTAATGTCCATGTTTTATGAATCCTTGTGCACTCTTTCGATCTTCGTATCTATGTCCGTATACCTGTACTCTTTCTCTTTTTAGTATTCCTATCAGGTGTCTGTGAAGCAGGACACAATTCCACACAAACCAACTCGGAATGGTCACATGGCGTACACAGCCTTGAGAGACTGCCCACATTATTACTCGGTTGTGAACAAATTCAAGCGTTCATGCCACTAGCATGGAAACTGCGTTATTATGATGAGCCTGCGCAAAAAATAAATACAGCAATTCCGCACCTCAAAATGTACAACGAGCGACTCACCTATGTATTATTCTCCATAATATTATTTGGTGGAAATACTAATAAGGATTAATAATAAGAATAAAACATCTCTTTTATTCACTTATTAAAGAAACGCACTGCATTCCGTCAATACAAGATACGATGGAAGGGTTGCAATAATCTTTCACTCAACCGCTGTTAATCAGTAATAATCTTCTGTAGAACATGGTGATTGAAGATAAATTGCTAAATACATTTAGAATACTATAGGCATGTACAGTAGATGTATTTTCATACTATTTAGTCCTGAAGGTAAAAATGGATAACTCTATTTTGAGATTTATGTGGTGCCGATAGAAACGGCGAAATAGTTACTAATCGAATATATGTTTTAGACACATGCGTCCCAAAATCTATTTACTACAAATGCACATTATTCTACTTTCCTAAATGAAGTTTGTACCATTTTACCTACCATAGTGTAAAATGGCCTCTTGCTTACTTTTTCATAGAGAATTCATTATAACCGTATGTTTTGAAATGAAAATTTATCATTATATTAAAATGTATGCATTCTGCTTCACTGCTATCTCCTAAATTCCAGTAATCTTAGAATTTACTGAAGAGTTGTTCAGGATTATTTTATAAATTTGGCCCACTTGCTCCTCTTGTCATCTGCTGTGATGTCAGCCATTTTCTCAGAAAATGAAATCTTTGGTTTGATCTCATTCAAATGCAAAAGGTTCAAAGTGGAGGAAAAGCCGCAAAATCAGGAGATGAAAAGACTGCATAATGTTGTGAAAAACACCTGATCGTTGGTTTAAATTTGGCTAAGGAAGGAAAATCCGAGAATGAAATCAATGATTTCTCTCCGTTCTTCAGTGCTGCAGTTTGACCTGTAATATGTTATTATTTTCTTATATACTGTATAGGGTTTGAGGATTTGACTTAATATATTAACTGCTGGACTTGCAAACATGCTTGATTGATTGAGGGATTGATGGATTATCGTCAGTACCTTACATGACACTTGCCAAGCAGGAGTTCCAGGAGGAACCACATTTCTCTCAATGATCTCACTGCGGGTCTGCAGGCTCTTGAAAAGTATCAGGAGTCCCCGTTTCTCTGAAAGCTGGGAGAGCTTTGGTCAGGTTGTTCCCACCGTACCCAGGTGGTGCTCTAAAAATTCAGCAAAACGTCAGAAAGAAGTGACACAAGCAGTGACTCAAGTACTGATCGCCCACGCTCAAACTGGAGATATCTAGACTGTAGGGGAATACGGACTTGGTTTTTAAGGGCTTATAAATATGTAACTTGTGCTCAACCAGTTCAGACCTCTATGCAGAGGCAGGGTGTACTTTATAATTCAGAGATTGTCTGGACCTGGAATATGATATTAGAGAGCTGTGACTGGGATCCTAGAATTAATGGGATATACAATAATTAGCACAAGTGTGATTTTAAGCAGTGTTAGGTCAGCTTATCATGAAATAGTTCCTCTGTAGTCCACAGAGATAAAGGGAAATGCATCAGCCCTCTAACTGAAGCCTCAGCTCTGCTATTGACACTATAGCTGGGCAAAGAAGCAAGTCTGACAGGGAAGGTTTCAGAGGACGCTCTGCAAGTTATCTTAAGCCCTCCTGTTCACCTGTTGTGAGAGATGAAACATTGAGCTAAAATATGTCAAACTTGCAAGATTGGAAGGGAGGTGAGGTTCAGAAAAAGCTAGAACATTTGAAATAAAAAAACACCAAATGTGAGCATGCATTTTGTTGTAGTAACATCTTATCTAAAGCTTGACTGGCAGTAATTTTACTGACCTGACAGAGTCATTGCAAGCTGAGGTGCATCTTGGGTAGACACACTAGTATGACCCTGCAAACTACAGAAGAAGAATATAAGGTAAACACTTAATGGTAAGTGCTCATTGAACTTGCAGTAAGCAGAAGAACACAAGCCACAGAATAATTAGAATTTCCATGTATCAGGAAGAGCAAGGAGTAGCCTACCCAGAAATATGCATCTGGTGTCCGGGGCTCCATTCATTTATGTTATAAAATCTGTGATTCATTTGAGCTTCTCCTGTCTGATGGATTAATAGACAACAACATGAGAGAATATTGCTGCATACAGACAGTTATGCGTATTTCTAAACATCTGAAAACTAAGCTCCACATGAAAAGTAAACTAGCCAGAATCTGAAGCAATGAATTTCAGCTATGACTCAGGATAAGTACCTGGTGGGATTAAAGTCACAGTAATTCCACTCATCACTGGGTGTCCTTTCAACGGGCTGAGGTTAAATATCTATAATCTAGTTCATGCTCTATATGTGGGATCATGCAAAACCAAAATATTTGTAGACAGCCTCTCACTTTTATCATTGTTATTTTATGGGTCAAAGAAATTAAATAATGCATGCCCTGACTGTACAGGTACTGCAGCTAAGGTATAAAGTACCTTCCAAAAGTATTCACATTCCATTAATGTCCCATTTAGTTGAATTACAAATGTAAACTCATTTTAAAGGCACTATACCTTTGCCAAAAATATAAGATCTCATCCATTAAGTAAGTGATTTGAATAAATAATGGATACAATGGAACTGGAAAATGTTATAAGGTTAAATTGATTGACTGCTAAATTGATCAACAAAATTTAATCTGACTTCTCCTTGAAGGATTCCAGACAACTGTCATCATCAACTTGACTGGACAAATATTTTCAGATTCTGTGTTTAGAAGCGCCCTGTATTTTCAGTTTAAATTGCATTTCCTTTGAATTTCCCCCTGTGTTTTACTGTTGAGCTACAAATAGTCAAGGAAAGTTAAATTAAAGCTCCAGCTACTGTTTGGAATGTTGCCTGTTTTTGAATAATGTAATGGAATATCTGTTAAATTAGCCTAATACTTCAACTAGTCTCCCAAGTTTACATGTACTTGATCTTGTATTTCTCTGGGTGTTGTCATGGAAACCAGATCTGAGTCTTTGCCTATAGTGGCCTAAAGCTCCATCATTTTCTTACATCAATGTTTTAAGTATTTTACTGTCATCCCTTCACAGAAATCTGCATAATCTTCTGTTTTAGTCTCCTAATGCTCCAATAATGTTGTTTTTTACTATTTAACTTAATTTAAGTCAGGTACTTTTTCAAAGAGAAAGGATAGGAGAACAATAGTGATATGCTTCATTCATGCTTCATTCATGTGCCAAACTTTAAAATCACTGGTTAAAAATGTAGTTTGTGCTTGTAATGTCTGTAGTTTGCATGAGGTCAATGACAAATAACTGCTCCTATGCCATACACAATTTATCACAAGAAACAAAGTATTTTTCAAGAGGACCAAGGCATGCGGCCAAAGACAAGACTTAGTCATCCCAATTTACAGAACATTCAATGGTATCCAATAAGTATTTTGAGTGTTACATACCCCAGCAGGTGACGCAGTGATTAACATTGCTACCTCGCAATGCTGGGCCCCTGGTTTCAATTCCAGACCTGGGGTGCCGACAGTGTGGAGTTTGTGTGTGTTCTCCCTGTTTTTGTATGGGTTTCTTCTGGGTGTTCCAGTTTCCTCCCACAGTCCAAAAAACATACTAGTAGGTTACTTGGCTTCAAGGAAATTTGGCCCTGGTGTGAGTGTGTGTGTGTCTGTGTTTGTGTCGGCCTGCTCTGTGATGGACTGGTGTCCCATCCAGGGTGTACCCCTGCTTGCCGGGACAGGCTCCAGCTCCCCTGAGTTGGAGGAAGTGATTAGAAAACGGATGGATGGAATTCTTGGAGTTAAAGAGCAGTACTCCTGAGGTATTTCATTCTGAACTTAAAAAAATGTAAATGAATTATAGGTATAACTAAGTGACTTTTCCTTGTTTTTCTGCTAAGCCCATTTTGTTTTCTTTTATGGATCCCCGTGGTCACTGTGTATATAACATTAATGTTTAATGTCTAGAAGCTCTAAACAAAAATTTAGAACTAAGGATTTTTTAATTGTTTCTAGTTAAAGCCTTTAAGATCCCTGAGCTTTAGAAAAACAACATGAGTAATAAGATGTACTTTGAATAGCAAGGACACTCTGTTCTGGAAGTCTGTGTAACTGAAATAGCTGTTTGAAAAAATCTGCACTTTCTGACTGAGTAGTGAGGAATGAATTACCTCCCAAGACCTAGCATTAAACAAAGATCTTCTAAATGCCGTTCTGAATGTTGTAATAAGTGAATAAGTGAATATACAGTATACTGTATGTATGGAGGAAACAGTGGAGCAGTGTTTAGCATCGCTGTCTCACAGTGCTGAAGCCTAAGGTCCAATTCTTGACCTAGGGTGCTATCTGCGTTGAGTTTGTATGTTGTCTCCATGTTCATGTGGGTTTCCTTCAGCTGCTCTGAATTCCTCCCACAATCCAAAGACATATTGGTAGGTTAATTAGCTTCTGGGAAAATTGGCCCTAGTGTGAGGGCTTCTGGGGTAGGTCCTGGCTCCATTACAATCCTGAATTGGATAAAGCAGTTAGAAAATGGATGGATGGAGTGTATGTATCTATTCCTATGTATAGGGGTCCTGGCATTTCTAAATTTCTACTGAATGACAATCCCCGAGGCCCAGGTCAAGCACAAGCACACCAACCCAGCTAATAAAGAGCACCTCCAAAAACATTAGTCACAACTGCCACATGCTTCAGGGATGGACATTATCATATTATAGTGCCATGAATAAATGAGTGTAATTAATCAATACAAGTATCAGAACATCCCATTAAAGGCTTGTCCTCACACACAGCTTATTTGGTTCTATGTAAGGATACCTTGTAAACTCGCCTCCAGAATGTGAAAAAGTAAAAAATATTAACACAGATAAACAGAAAATAAGACAGATATTAATATTAATATTAATTATTTGTGGAGACTTGGCAAAAAGACCTTTAACAAGGCTTTT